ACAATGTATGAAAACATCTTTACTGCAGATACTAATTTTGTGTTGTAAGATTTATGACTTTCATGCTTTGGTGCTTGGGAGAGCTTGACATTTTATCAGGTGGTCCACACTGTAAAAAGTGTGAGAAACACTGATAAGTGTCTGTGTGCTTTTGGAAAACATTTAAAGGTGCAGTACAGAATCTTTGAAACAAGCTTAAAACATTTGTAGAAACAGAGCATCTGCTTCTCTTTACAGCTGCTCACTCCACCAGGGCTGTTTGGCTCTTTCTGATAGTGAGCAAATGTGATGCACGTACTGCAGCAGTCATACAGACAACTGGACGGTCCAAAGGTTGGCCGACCTGTTACCGGCTGAGGTTTTAGCAGAGTTGTGGCTGAACCACATAAAAATATATCATTAATTTTAATCTCCCCGATCAATGATAATGTTATGTTGGAATGTTGTTAAAGAGGGTCAAAATGTTTCAGCCCAGTTTGTTTAGCAGATTCTGTACAGCAGCTTTAATACAGGGAGGACACAACTTCCAGACTGTGAGTAAAATCAGGTTTGTTCTTTTTGTCAGTTTAACAGTTTGTGTTGTGCCTGTCACTGCTCCCTGTCTGTTTGCTTACCTGGTTCTTCCTGAACTCGTACTTTCTCCTCACGTTCCCTCTTTGGACTGACAATCATACACAAATAGATTGTCTTCAATTAGATGAAAAATTACATTAATATGAAAAAAATACTATTAAGATCACTAACAAAAAGTCCTCTCAGTGTACTTTCAACCAAAAGGCAAATAACCAAACCACATGAACATCTAATAAAGGATATAAATATTGAAACACTGATCCAACATTATTCCTGATTCACAGGTCATTTGATTTTACACTTTCACCTGAATGTGGCTCCTTTTTTTGAAAAACCTTTCTTATATGCACCTGGCTGTCTATCTGTACACACACACACACACACACACACACACACACGACAGTTATAAGGTTAATGGGCATCCAGTCAGTTAGCATCCCAAACAGGACAGTGGTAACAACAGCAGGCTGCGACAGTGTTAAGTTTTAGAGTTTAAACAGGCTGTATACACTTCAATGGGAGCAACAGGACGCTCAGATGTGGCTGATTTTACTGCAGAGCAGGGCGGATTGTAGGGCAGCAAACATCGTCGGGAAACACGTTTCCCACACTGCAGGTTACCTGGTGTCATGTTTTTCAGCAAAAGAGACACATGGCCTGACAGAGGATGGAAGTCGCAGACAGAATATCAGAATAGTTGGTGTTGCAGAAGGCGCAGAAGCGAATAACGTCACCGATTTTGCCGCAAAGTTTCTGGAGTAGATAACTTTGACTGCCCTGTTGTTATTGATCGAGAAGAAGCCTTATCCCCAAACCACGCAGCGGGGAACGACCGAGGCCCGATATTATCCGATTGCACTACTTCACAGACAAGGAGAAGATCCTGAGACTGTCTCGTAATAAAGGAAACTTACACTTCGACGGGTCTCCAGTTTATATTTTCCCCAACACAAGTCCTGAGGCTGGGCGGATGCGAGCAACCTTCAATCAACTGAAGCAGAAACTCCGCAGCGCTGGCATCCAACACAGCTGTATTATCGAGCCAGGTGATTACGGCAAACGGCTCCAGAGACACGTTTACCGACGCACAAGAGAAATTTATCTTGTCCAACAAGCTGATCACAACGGAAGATGAAACTGGATAGGAGGCGCTGGCAGCTGATCGAGAAAGCCGTTACCGGACGGTCACGCTCACTGACTGAGGTGATAAACTCTTATTCAGGTCAAATATGTTATTATGCTGCTGAGGATATTCTTACATCTTCTTCCTTTCTTTGTTCTGTTTTGAGAGAATGAATAAGTTTATAGAAGGAGAATGAATTATGTGTTCGCAGGTAAATTCATAGTTCATATTTAAATTGATTAATATTAAGGTCATTTAAGTTACAAGATGTTGGGGGAAAACTCTGCAAAAGACCCAGGAGAAATAAAGACACAATGAGACAAAGTTACTTTCTTTATCAAACGTGTACACGGGTGAGCTGCAAGAACAACTCACACCATGAACAGAGGCTTGGCACTTTTTATAGGAGAGACAGTGAGAACAGGATAAGAAAATAATAAACAGATAAAATAAACAACTCCATATGTGGCGCTAGTCTCGTCAGCAGAGAGCTGGGAGAAAGCTGTGAGAGATAAAACAATCTAAAACAATATGTCCCAAAACAATATGTCTTTGCTGGGAAAGTCTAAAAGGATAATTCTAAACTAATCTAACCATAGACAAAGGGCATCTTTGTACATTTAAAAGAAGGTAAAGAAACATAGAATCATTTTTCCTGTAACACAAGATGATGTTTATTCTCTTACCAATGTAATCTCTCCTTGTATGTAAACCATCATAACAAGGGTTAAGGTCAATGGCAGAGCCTGAACTACTTTCTTTCCCTTTTATTTATTAATTGTATTATTATTATTATTGGTGTTATTATTACTGTGAGTGTGCTTTATCAAACTTTATCAAAATTAAACTGGATATGAATAATATAGTTCTTTAGGAGCTTAGTGGTAAGTCAGATGTTCGTGTCTCTGAGCTGAGACTTAAATACTTTTGTTGTATGGAGCCCTCTCTGTCCAGGTTCTGCTGGAGCGCTGTGGTCAGGGAGGAGCAGAGAGGGGCAGGGACTGTTTCAGTGTTTTGTTTGGGTTCTCACCTGCACGTTTGTTTGTATTTTGTTTGGAGGCCATTTTATTAAAAAGGAGGGGGAAAGGGTTTAATTGGGTTGCAAATCTTTATTTACAAGTTAAATAATGGTTATTGATAATTATTAAAACCTAGTAAATTTTGTGTCATGGCATTGTAAAGGACTCAATGGTGCTGTTAGCGGGGCAACATTCTGGCACACCTTCAAAAGCTGGGGACAGATATAGGATACTTGCAGGAAACCCATTTGAGAAACAGGATCATCAGAAGCTACGTGGAGGATGGATCAGGCAGGTGTTTCATTCACAGCTAAGAATAGAGGTGCAGCCATTAGTATCAAAAAAGGGATCCCCTTCATAGCGTCAAACGTACTATCAGACCCTCGTGGACGTTATATCATAGTTACAGGGAAACTTTATAACAATCAGGTTACACTAGCAAATATTTATGCCCTAATGTTGATGATGCAGGTTTTATGAAATCATTTATATCCTCTTTACCTAATATGGACACCCATAAACGGATGCTTGGCGGCGATTTTAATTTCGTTTTGGATCCTATGACAGATGTTTCCAGGGGCGGACTCAAGCTGTGATCGATGTGGCCAGAATTCTGCCTCGTTGTCACATGTTTTGGACATGTCCTAATATCGCCACCTGCTGGTCTAAAATATTTAAAACTTTGTCTGATATTTTTAAAAAACAGCTCCCCCCAGACCCAGTAATGGCACTTTTTGGTGTAGCTACAGTTAAAGACTTAAATAAACAAATTCGTGCTCTGAGTTTTATAACATTGCTTGCAAGACGTCTTAAGCTTCTAAACTGGAAAAATAAAGCCCCCCCCCCTTACTCACTCTGCTTTGTTAAGAGACACAATGTATCATTTACAGTTGGAGAAAATTTAATTTTCATTGAGAGATAATGTTAAACAGTTTTACCTAATTTGGCAGCACTTTTACTTTAACAAGCAAACTGGGAGGGATGGCCTCCTCCCATATCTGCTCCAAGATTATACACATTGGTCTGGGCAGGTGGGGGGGGGGTTGTTTTGTTTTTTTCTCCCCCTCCTTTGTATATACTTATTTAGGTATATGTATGTATAGACACAGATATATGATTGCTTATATAATGGTAATTATACTTTATGTAAAAGGAGGGGGAGAGGAAGGAAGGGAAAACTCTGTCTCTGTAAATGAGATACATACTTTGTTGCCTGATTTGAGATATGCGTGGACCCTTTTTTATTCAAAACATTTCATTTGTTCTACAGACAGGCACAATTAAACCCAATATTTAGCTTCATCATTAGGATTTTTATGCGTGATATCTGTTTGTAGACTTATAGAATTGTATGTAATTATACATGTATGTTGTATATTGAGGTAGGATCAAATGAGTTTACCTTTAAGTCTGTACCAACCCTTTCTGTGTCTCATTGTTGTTTAAAGTGTATTTTGTTGTTATTTTAGTCATGTTCAAAATAAATCAATCATTCAGTGACAAAAAAAATAAAATAAATAAATAAAAATAAACAAGGTCTGACTCCTACCTAACTATATAAAGAATAACTGAAGGTTAAATGCAGCTAATATGTGCTCTTTTAAGCCAGGAACTTCCACCTCCGCTCGCTGCATCTCAGCCACCATCGCTCTGGCAGCAAGAACGCTAGAGCCAGAGCAGGGGAGAGCTGGAACAAACCATTTTGGAAGGGAGGGGGGTTATCTATACTTTTGTTGTTAAAATGTTACGTCTCAAACAAGTACAG